AACCCCAAAAACCTCATGTTTCTGGGAAAGATAATATAAGGTATTATAAGCTAAAGTCACCAGCCATTCAGGCCATACAAGAATATAAGCAACTCACAAACTTTCAGAGGCATTTATGGCCCTACCTTTAAAATGGTTAACTGAGAAACAAATATAGGTTAAACAATGGCCTTTAATGGAAGACAAGCTGCAGAATTTAGAACAACTGGTATAAGAGCAACTAGATGCTCACCATATTGAAAAATAAGCCAGTCCTTGGAATTTTACTGTATTTGTCGTTAAAAATAAATTTGGAAAATAGAGAATGATGACAGATCTAAGAGCTGTCAATAAGGTAATTCAACCTATGGGTCCTCTACAATCTGGAATTCCTCTGCTTTCTCTATTACCAAAAGAATGACCTCTCATAGTTATTGATTTAAAAGACTGTTTCTTCACATTACCTTTACAAGAAAAGAACAAAAACAATTGCCTTCACAGTGTCTACTTATAATAATTCTCAGCCTACTAGGAGATTTCAGTGAACTATCCTTCCACAGGGAATGCTCAATAGCCCCACCCTGTGCCAATACTTTGTAAATCAGCCATTGGAGATAATACATATACAATTTACCATTACATGGATGACATTTTGTTATCTGATTCAAATGCAGCTACTTTAGAAAGAATGCTTGAAGAAGTATTAACCTTGAATTTTTTTAACACTGATAAGAAAGGAATAATGGCAGTATGGATAATAGGAAAAACTTCTGAATTAAATTAGTCTTTCAAAACCAATCTATTACCAAGAGAATGATGAACACCAAAGATACTCCACTTGGAGCTTGTTTTCTTCTTGACAAAACTGGCTTTTGGGCAAGGAACTGCCTCAATCATTGACAAAGTGCATGATGTCTGGACTGGGCAAGAGGAATACAAGAAGAAGATTGCCAAAACAGGGTAAGATGGTTCTGAAATTTTTCCTGCCTCAGAAAATGATCTGTCAGCTATCCTAGGCCTTAGCCAAAGTTGGTTGCTTCAACATTGCAAATGAGACTTTGGGTGATTGCCCAAGTAGCCAGTTGTCTCTGTCATCTACTACACATTTTGGAAACTGTTTGACTGGACTTCCTGCCTTCTCAAGCAATATTATTTAGCTTCTCGTGCCTTTGATGGGGTTGAAGATTATTTAGTCATAGTTACCTTCTTCTTATGATCTAGTCAAGCCATTTCTAGTGCAAGACTTAGACTTCTTAGGATAGAATATTTATTAAAATATTTAGCATATGCTCCTTATTAATATTGTTTATGCTGATTGTAATTCTAATTTTTATACTTGATACCTGTTCTTAGTATATATATATATATATATATATATATATATATATATATATATATAGTTTTGCATTGTGTTTGTAACTCTCTTATTTAGACAAAAGAAGGAGGTAATGGGGAACCTCCTTCAGCCAAAGGTCTTTAAGAGGCTGGACCTGGTTGGGGTGTGACTTAGGGTACCAAAAAGTCATGGTTCCATCCACCTCTCCCTCTTCTCCTTGCAAGCCACACCTGGATGTTGGACCCCATTCCTATCTCCGTACTGTAATCTGTGAGTTCTCTTTTGATAAAGAAAAACCTTAGAATACTCTATTTGAAGTCAGTTTGGGATTATTTGACTCACGTTGCTCCCATTTGACATATTTAACATCACTGGCAGACTTTTCCATGAAGCAGGAAATTTGAAGATCTCTTATGACTTGTACTGGTGAAGCTTAACAGTTGCTTTCTTCTGTGTTCTGGAAAATGTCTGGCAGTTCTCTCATGAAGCTGGAACCCTGAAGGACTATCTCACCTTCTTTAGGTAACATCAGCAGTCATTTTTCTCTGGGTCCTGCATGTCCAGTTTATACAGTATACCATCAAGCAGTCCAGGAAAGAGTAGTTTCTTTCCCAAATGGCTAACCAACTCCATAAGAAGCCCCTATGATGCCTATCATCTTCTTGAAGTAGATTGGTGCTGCCAGGAGCAGATGTGTCTCATTGTCATAAAAAAAACCTAAGTTCTTAAACATTTAAATGCCATATTCCATAGGTATTTGAAAGGTTTAAAGAATAGCCATTCATCTAAAATATATCTGTATACATCTAGAAAACCTAACATCACTACATGCTTGACTCTTATAGATGACTATTTTTAAGCTGTATTTCTTAATTATATATTACATTGTTAAATGAGCTGCACAACCACAATATCTTAATCAAGAGCAGAAATAAATATATAACAAAATTGACCTTAAATTTGTATAAATAAACCAAGATCTATATCAGTGCAAAGTATTCATCTCTATAGCATATCTCCCTTTAAATTCCAACTAACATTTATAAACAATCATTAAGGAAATTTGGGCATTGTTGTCTAGACTACTTCCTTGCCAGAGATCTTTACTTTCCTTCTGATTTGAATTGCTAAAAGCTGTGTCAAAGTTGTTTACCAGCTCTGCTTCATGAGCATGTGTTGCCCTCAGCCTTGAGGATCAGAGGAAAAAGTTTTCACCTGTTGGCCCACCTGACTGTTGGGTATGTATGCCTCCAATGGTGGTATTGAATAAAGGGCTTCTTACCAGTGACTAGGTGTCTGTGTCTCTGTCTCTCTGTCTCTCTGTGTCAGTGTATCTTTGTGTCTTTTAACCTCCAGCCCTTTGCCTGAAGCTCACAAACTGTATGGTAGTGCATAGAGTGTAGACAGGCATCGTGCACTGCAGGTCCATCTCAGCCAGCAGTCCTGAAGCTGTCATAGATGTTGGACCATCTGAGCCATTTCTTCAGAGAGTATTGTTTGACCAAACCACAATAATCTGTAAGGAATCCACAAGTTCTCATCCTCTGTGGAAACAAAAGTAGAACCTCATTCTCAAAGCAACATATCCTTAGACCCTAATTTGGAAATCATGATACCTTTAAAATATGTATGTTGGCTTAGCTTAGCAACTCATATTATAAAATTTCTCTCTGTAATTAGCTCATTCACAGTCAAAATTTCAAAGAAAACACAATAATATACATAATCAAGATTCTGCGTATAGTGCATATTTTGGTGGCTTATTTTTCTTACTCTATTACTTTTTCTATAAGTTTAATATTTATTTTATTCTCTTTATTCCTTTACTCTAATGACTGTATTCTTTTATATTGTAACAGTCTATAAGCTTTTTCCTCTCTCTCTCTCTCTCTCTCTCTCTCTCTGTCTCTCTCTCTCTCACACACACACACCCCTACATACTAACACTGTGACCTATTTAGAGGTCTTTTCCATTTGTATTTGTCTTTATTGCATGCAAATCTGTAATTATTTTTGACCAAGAATGCTTTTTATGATTTAATTAAGTGTGGATGGCTAGGTCTAACTCCGAGGTCCTGCCTGCTTGCTCCACCCAGTCCAACATAGCAGAGACATGTTTACTGCTTCTAAGGACCATGCACACCGTCCCATTTTCAGACACACAACGAGTCTATGCTGCCATTAAGCAAGTTATAGCACTCTGTACACAAACCCCATTTAAATGCCCACTAGCTGGACCTCTCAAAAGAATTAGAATCATTTGTGCTGGCAAACCAGGAAGCCACCATTTTTAAAGAAGTTGCTCAGTTTTTTACTGTACCTCTCTTGAAGGACCTATGACACTCCTGCTCGCCACCAGCAAATAGAACCTATCTGAAAAAATAATGTGACTAAACTTTGTTTTTTTGTGTGTGTGTATAGAATTTCTTTCCAAGCTCTCTCAGGTTTTACATGGATATAATTGGCACACATTAGTGTGCCAATATGTTTGCTGGAGGCAGCTTGTTTGTATCCCAGCTGTTCAGATCTGAAATATTCACACACTGAGAAACTGAATTAATTACAACACTGCTTGGCCAATGACTCTAGTATATTCCTAGCAAGCTCTTACAACTTAAATTAACCCATTCTTATTATTTTATATTTTACCATGAGGCTTGTGGTCTACTGGCAAGGTTCTGGTACATCTGTTCCCTGCAGTGACTACATGGCTTCTCACTAACTCCACCTACTTTCTCCCAGCATTCAGTTTAGTTTTCCCACCTAGCTCTATTCTGCCCTATCACAGGCCAAACATCTTCTTTATTAACCAGTAAAAGCAACACATATGCAGAAAGACTTCCCACACTAAGAGGTTATGAGTTTATTTAAACTACTTTACATATTAGATTGTGACTCTAGATTCAAGACTGAGAATAGACCATGAAGCATCAGCAGGAAGAGGTAGGAGGCTGGAGCACAGACCCAGGATGCTGACTGGACCAGCAGTCTCCTTGGACAGAGTGAGAGGGGTCAGATTACAGGTCTGTTTACAAGCCAGTGTCAGGGCTGCAGCAATGGCTCAGTGGGTAAAGCAGCTGCTATGCAAGCATGAGAACCTGTGCTCTGATCCACAGCATCCTCACAGATGCCTGCTGGGTGTGGCTACAGGCTTATGATCCCAGGAGAAAAAAACTAAATGACTAACTACACTAGCCAAATCCATAAGTTATTAGATGAGTACATGTTCCACATGCATATAAATATGCAAACACACCACATACCTACAGGAGAAAAAAAAAAGATGTTAGTAAGAATCAAATACCAGATTTGAGATTTAGTAGACTCCAGGAGTGAGAAAAGACAGGGTTTGGGGCCTTCGAGCCACTTCCTGAAATGAAGAGCTTGTGCACTGGGCAGGCTACAGGAAGGAGATGGAGTGCAGAGATCCAGAGCACAAATCTGGGAGATCAAGAGCTTTTGCTAAACTGGGATCTGCTGGAAAATCTGGGAGACTGCACTTTAGTAGATGAGTGAAGTGAGGCTCAAACATGTATCCTGCACTCAGGAGGTAGGGGCCTCTGCAGACCTGGATGAAACTCTAAAGGCTAAATCTGCAACCCAGGCTTCTGCAGAGACTTCCCAACAGGAAATGAGTTGAGTAATATTTAACTGCCACTATCAGGTTTCAGAGGAAGAACATTTGCGCAGACTCTGACGTTGGCTTCCTCAAGGAACCAGAGGCTCTTTCACTTTTGAAGAAAATGATTTCCAGCTGAGGAGCCTCAGCCGGGGATACATACCAGCAGACCCCGAAGAAAAGCAGGGTGAGTAATGGGACCAGCGGAGTCCACCAAACTATGTTAGTTGTGGGAAGATAAGTGCTGGTCTGAATGCACTAAGGTATACTGTGGCAGACATGGGGAACTTACTGAGATCCAGGGTCCATACTCCACCCCTGCTTAGAGAGTCTGTAGGCTAGCTCTGGTAGGCTGGAGTTTGCTGGATTCACCAGTATGCTTCATGTGCCGGCTCCTGTCATAACCTATCCTGCACTTTCTTCTCTCCTGTCTGACATGAAGCTATGGGGATAAGGGTCGTGAATGGGGAGGAGTTAAGTGGAAGGGCTAAGGATGAGAAACAAAAAAGACAGAAACAACAGCTAGGAGAAGCAGGTCTTGCATAAACTGATGATATAGGCCAAGCATATTTATTAGGAAGTACGGCATCATTTATGCTATTTGAGGGATGGGAGGGGACACCCAAGGTCTGAAGAGAACTAAGTCAGAAAATGTGCTAAGAGAACACAGGATCCCTTAGACACAGCTGCCTTACAACTGAAAACTACAGCCCAGGGTGCTATAGAGATTTGTATTGACATGAATCTTGGTTTATTGATACTAATTTAAGGTCAATTTTGTAATATGTATATATAGTTCAGATCTTGATCAAAGTATTGTGACTGTGTAGCTTCTTTTAAAATGTAATGTATAATTAAAACATATAGATAAATAGAGAACCATCTATAATAGTCAAGCTTGTAGAAATGTTAGTTAGATTTTCTAGATGTATAGAGATATAGTTCATTTAGCTAGGTATTCTTCAAATCTTTCAGATTTGGTATTTATATCTTTCTGAAGTCTTTGATGGAGTTGAAGAATATATAAATAGTTATAGTTTTCCTTAGTTAGGATAAAAGATAAAGTAAATAGAATTATTGTAACTGTAATTCTTGCTTGATACCTGTTATATGTAATTTTACTGTTAAAGTTAAAACCTTACTTTTTATTTAAATAGAAAAGGGAGGTGATGTGGAAGTCCTCTCTGTGTGTTGCTTGTTTTGGTTAATAAGTAAAGAAACTGCCTTGGCCTGATAGGTAGGGCAGAACTTAGGTAGGTGGAGAAGACAGAACTGAATTCTGGGAGGAAGAAAGCAGAGTCAGGGGAATGCCATGGATCCACCGGAGATAGACGTGCTGAGACTTTGCTGGTAGGCCACGACCTTATGATGATATACAGATTAATAGAAATGGGTTAAACTAATATGTAAGAGTTAGCCAATAAGAAGTTAGAGCTATTGGGCCAAGCAATGATTTAATGAATACAATTTCTGTGTGATTATTTTGGGGCTAAGGTAGCTGGGCAGGTGGGACAAACATGTGGGTTGCTCCCTGCAATACCAGGGGAAGAATCGGGTCCCCAGAAGGGTCAACTTCAGTTCCTCCAAGTCACTGGCTCCAGTGTCAAATCAGCCTCACCAATTCCACTCTTGGACAAGGTCATAGAAGTAATGTTCCCTTTGTCCTTTCATCAGGACCTCTAGGAAAACTTTGGGTCACTCTAACCCCCCATACTTATCCAGGTGGCTCTTTGACTTTCTCTGGGTAATTTTCCTTCCATCTGATTTGGCTCTGGATTGTTCCCCTGTGTGGAGATTTCTCAATTCCTTCACAGGGCCCAGCCTGAACTCAGACTGACCCCTTGAGTCCCCTTCTGTGCTGCATTTCTCCACCTCATTCTCTGTCACAGTAATGACTGAGGGACTGTCTCCTAAGAGTGGGACACTAGAAAAGGGAGAGGATGAGGAGCACAGAGCAGTGAGTGCCCTGCACGTTCCATCTGTGCACCCTCCATCCCTGTACCCTCCATCCCTGCACCCTCCATCCCTGCACCCTCCATCCCTGCACCCCATCCCTGCACCCTCCATCCCTGCACACTCCGTCCCTGCACCCTCCATCCCTGCACCC